TTTGAGTGATAAATATTTTTTTTTGCGATCATTGCAATTGCCCGGCGGGCAAATGCGATGAAATTTGTACTCTGCCAACAATAAAAACTACTCGCCCTGGGCGATTGGGCGATGTTTAACATCGAGCCCTGAACTGGAAGCAGTCAGCTGGTTTTCCTTAGAAAACTTTGAACCTTCAGTCTGACTGTTTCTCTCTGTAACCTGTGTGCCTTATAGAATATAGAATGTTGTAAACTTGCTATAGAAATAAACTCAACTGATTACTCTGCTGAAATATGTATTTATTTACTTTTTGTGTCCTGTTTATATAGCTTTGGGAATAGATGTGTCAGAGCTAGCTGATAGCCAGACAGCTTTCCTTTTAGAGGCAGACCATTATGACTATTGCCATGACATTACAGTTGGTACTTGTATATGAAACTTTATTGAAAGATATTTAGGGGGTAAAATTGTATACAATGGACACGGAGATGGAAGAGGACGTGAGAAAAAAAAAGAAATGTGAAGCAGTGCATGAAAAGAAAGAGAAGAATATAGATGATACAGAAGTTATAGAGTAACTTCTAGAAGTCTGCTTCCACATGAGAGCCACAGAAAACAGAACATAACAGAAAAAAGAAAACAGACAACTGAAGCAATAAAAGCAGATATCCTTTAGATATCAATGTGAGTGAAACTCAAAACCTTTGGTGATTCCACAATATTAATCAGAGTGGTATATATCCAGAGTGAACGTGTTTAGAAATAATACCTACATAAACTTTTAATGTAATAAAAATGCTGATGTGTTTATATTTTAATGTATTGTGTATGCATCTTGTTCCTCTGCTTGTTTTTTGTTGGGTTTTTTCAAGGACCCCCTTTAACGCAACATGGTTAATCTCAAGGGGCCAATTCTTTCAAATGAATTAAATGATTTTATTAAGACCCGATGATCTGAAATCCTCATAATTACTACTTGGTCTCAGTAAATCCTAACAGACTCTGCCGCGCTGCCGGCCTCACGCAGTGAGACCATCAGATTAACAGATTGAGTAACATAATCCAAAATCATATATCAAATATGGAAAAGAGCTGACTGAACGAACCTCTTGGCTTAAATATTTGAAGCCGAGAAGAAGAAATCTGAAGTGGGAAAGTTATACAACGCAGGTGTGATGTGTTTGTTTGAGTGAGCGAACAAGAGAGATGAAGTATGTGTGGGTGTTTGTGGGAAGAGGGAGGAGAGATAAAAGCAGTTCTGTGGATCTGAGAGTAGAAGCTAGATTAAAGAAAGACGCTCCAGCATGTCACAGCAGCAGCGGGCTGCACGTCTGAAGAAAAAACTAAGATTTTTGTCACAGCACATAAATCGATTTATCAATTTCAAACCCGGTGTAAATGGATTAAGACTATTCAGTATTTGTTTTCATCTAATTAAGGTTTTCTTAAAAATCTTTTAAAGTTTTATGTGTTCCTACGTCCTGTGGTCGGAGTCTCAGAGATAAATCCATGGTTTCCTGCTCATTTTATACCCAAACACATAACCACACAGAGTTGGTCTAATCTGTATGTGCACCTGCCCTGTTACTATGACAACCAACCTGAAAGTGATGACATAGTGTTAATGAAGATGTTTTATTTGTGGGATGCTGACATATAGAACCACTAAACAATGCTGATGTATACAGGCTCCAACGTTACACCTCAAACCTCCGGAACTTCTCACCAATGCTGCCTTTTACAAACTTTTTCGCTTCAGTTTCTGTTTTTACATTTTTGCACAGGGTAACCAGATGCACATTCATTTATAGCAAAGAGCTTAACTGGCTCAACATAAAACATAAACAAGAAACTGTGTGAGGCAAAGCAAGTCCATTGTAAGCAAGTCCGGCTGAAATGAGTATCTCCATCTAATTAGCAGACTGATTGCTATCAGATGTGTTGGAGCATCATCTTATGTTTGTATAACATGCAGCTATGTGTGAAAACGGCCTTCCTTTGAGTCTACTGCTGCTAAAAATATTACAGCTGACAGAAAATTTCGGAATCCCTACGAACTTCAGGCTAAGAAGCTTAGCTAGAGGGGGGAAGGTCTCACAGTATAAGGAACCCTCTCAGTTGGACTTAAAGCGATTCTTTCAAACTATGCGGAGGGGGAGGCAGGAGTGGGGAGGTGCTGACCTTAAATGAGGACAATGCTGAAGGAATACCTCCAGAATCTCCTCAACCACACACCCAATGTTATGCCAGTTCATAATTAAAAAGAAAAAGCTCAAAGTTAATTAAACAAGATGAAAAATGAACTAGCTGTGGTTCATAGTTCCCTTTTTCAAAGATTAACTAAGTTTACCAACCTATAAATGGACTAGTTCATATAGTTGGTAAATTAAGCCACAATTAGATCCCACCTTTAAATGTGTGATCATAATATATAGAAAGAAATGGAAAATCCTGGATGTAGTCAAGCTATACAGGAGGTGCAGTGAAGCCTTTATTTAGCTAAATTACACAGAACTTCAGAAACATAAAGGCTTCTGCTAAAAAGATCTGGATGAAAATTATTTTTAGTAGCAGATATTTCCACAGATACCGCAGATGCTCTAAGTCAATGTGCTGCTTTAAATTTGAAGTGGACGTGGCTGACATACTGACTGGTTTGTTAAGTCCAGGTGAGAACAGTTTGCAGTAAAATGTGAGTTTTTTATTCTGTCACAGTCTTCCTTTGTTAGTTGATCAGCCTCTGCAAGCGCTCCGCTAAACGGGCATCAGCAGATGAGTCTGAATGGAGCAGACTGGTACTAGCAGTAGACAGTCTGCTGTAATTAGTGCTGTAAAACCTGACATTATCCAATGAAAAGTGTCGTTACCAATTGAATGCTGTGTGTCGCTCATTGTTCTCAGAGTGAACATCGCTCTTGTCCACGATAATTTCTTCAAAACTGATCTGTTCAGTTCACCGTTCACTATAACTATGAACGTATTCAATGAACGCCGTGAATTAACACGTTTATTCACAACACTGGACACACCTTCCCTGGTGGAAGTAGAGACTTGGTGCCCTGAGCCATCGTCATCCAGGGCAAAGTCATCAAGGGGGTCAGGTGGGAGGGTTTTGGGTGGATGAGCAATGCCCTGGGCTTAGATCTCTGGAGGTGTTTGGGCTCTGGTAGCTGACATGTCTCTTCATCATTGCCTAGTGGTCAGGGACAGTGCCCCTGGACTAGCAGATTATAGTGGTGGTTCCCCTCTGGAGGGTTTGTTCCAACCATGAGATGAGCACATTTCTCAGCCTCCCGAGAAGGCCAAAGTGCTGGAGAGGAGAGTCCATCTGTTTGTTAAACCCTTGCTTCAGTAGGAGCAGTGTGTTTGTTTTCCAGACTGTGGAACACTGGAACAGCTCCGTAGGGAGCTCCATGTCTGTGTGTGTTTTCTTGACCTATAGAAGGCTTTTTTTTCATCTCTCTTTGTGCTCTATGGAGGCTCTTCAGTAGAATGGAGTTGGTGGCCATTTACTAGTTGCCATCCAGTCCCTGTACAAGCCAGGATGGTTTAGTATATATTGCCAGCATGAAGTCAGTTGGACTACAGCAGGCAGGCCTCTATCACCGGTCCTTTTCATAGACAGAATTTCTAAGTGTAGTCAAGGGCCAAGTGGGGTCTGGTTTGGTGGCTTGTGGATTTTGTACGTGTTTTTTGCAAATGACATGGCTGTGCTTGCTTCCTTCTGCTAAGATCTAAAGGCTGATTTACACTTCGAAACTTGGTCGTTTGCGTAGGTGTCACAGTGAACAAAAACACGCCCTCGCCCCCTCCGCAGACGCTCCGCTGCACCTCTCCCAAATTGTAGCTGACCTCAGACAGGAGTCCGGCTTGTTTTGCAATTGTGGAAAACAACTCATGAAGTTGGACCAGCTAGAAGAGCGAGGTGCGAGAGAACGCTGGGACCCTTTTTCCACCTGGATCCCCGCTCTTTTAGGCCGTCATGTCCCTCCGTTGTCGGACAAACTCACCCCCAACTTTCACTACGCCTCGGCCATATCTAGACCCACAGCATATAGGGCAGACCATGCTTCAATACTGGGCATAAATCAAAAATCTCACTGCTGTGGGGAGTATAACCAGGCCTTAAAGACTAGCCAAGAAGCTGGGATGAAGACCAGCTCCTTCAAATAAGAGGCAATGGTTTTCAACCAGAAAAAGGCGGATTGCCCCATTGAGGTTAGAGAACGGTTCCTTCCTCAAGGTAACGTGTTCAAGTATCTCAGGGTACTGTTCTAAACGCTGTAGTATTCCCTCACAGGAGGTGGTGGAGGTCTCTGGTGACCGAGACATCTGAGGGTAACGACTCCGCTTTGTTTTTAAAAGATATAAATGTAAAAACTATAACCGTGGATGTCTGGGGTACAGTGATTTGCCTACATGTTATGAATGCTGGCGTACCAACGGAATATCTTCAGAACGGCTCCAAATGACACAAAACTCATATGGGTGAGTAGAACATGATGTAATAACGCAAAATCAAGGGCCCAATGTGTAAAAACCGGTGTTCCCCTTTAACCCGCTATTTTCAGTGGGAAAGAGGCTTTACACTGGGAGGTACTAACGTGCTTAGCCCCATCACTTCCTTGTTTACTCACTGCACACATATGCAGTATCGTCATGTTGTTATGGTGAATATATACAGATATGCCTTAATTACCAAGAAATTGATAGGGGAAAAAAGCACAAAAGGCAATGATAATACGTAAGGCAGCAGATTGTGGACATTTTTCTGAAAAACCTTGCAACCAGAGTGAAGCATTGTCATCTAAAACTTAAGTCATATAATGCTTAAGAGAAGTTTGAGTGATTTCACAGTTTAGTATCTGCAATAGAGACGGCCTGCCCCCTTCAGAGGAGTACAGACTTGTATCATAAAAATACAAAACTGTTCAGGCTCAGAACACAATGGTGTCACTGCATAAGCATATGGGTAAGGCTTTGGATCTAGCAGTTCTAACGAAATGACTGTGTTTTACCTGGATAAGGTCTCGGGCAAGCAGCTCCAACTCCCCCGCAGGAATGCTGTCGTCCAGGGTCTCCCATCGCTCCCCCAGACGGAACTCCATTACGTAATGCTGGATAGGTGCTGTGTGATTGGCAGGTGGGATCCAGGTGAGCAGGATGCCCTGCTGCGTGCGATTGGCTGTGAGGCACCGTGGTGGGGTAAGCAGCACCAGTGGTTCGGGGGTACTTGTAGGAAATACTGAAAGAGCATATCAGGGTTAGAAATATGGAAAATATAAGTTCTTTTAAAAAAAAATCTAAATTTTCTCTAGTTGATCTTCTTTTTTAAAACATTCTGGACATTTCGTAACACACACAGCACTAAAGATGCATAGTTAGCTGTTATTTATGGCTGCTTTCACATTGCAGGCCTTAATGCTCAATTCCGATTTTTTTTTTGTGTGAAATCTGATTCTGTTTTGTTGTGATTCTTTTCCGAGCGCATTTAGCGGCCAGTGCATTAACAACTCAATCATTTCAAGAGGGTTGACAATAAAGACTGTTCTCCACATTATCGTCCGCCATTGTCACTTTTCCTGCATAGCAGGAAGCAGAAATTTGACCTTTGTTGAGTATTAATGAGGTGCAGGTCAAATGAGACCTGGCTGTTCAAACACAGGTCGCATTCGAAAAGATCAGATACATATCTGAATCAGGAGAACAGAGCCAAGTGGCCTGGGTTGCATTGGAAAAGATTTGATCTTTGTTCAGACTGTCATGAAAGATCAGATGCAGGTCGCATATTGGCAAAAAAAAAAACTACTTTGGGTCACTTCGGGCTGCAGGGTGTGATGGTAGAGTATATGTGTTGGGATCTGGAGATCTGCCACCTTTCTCCAGCAGAGAGCGCCCTGGGTCTACTGAGCTGAAGCCACCTGCACACCTGAGGCTGATTCATCTCATCAGGAGACCAGCTACATAAGCAGCGGCTTGACTTCCCTTCAGCGTCGGAGTGTTGACCAGTTTTGGTTAGCAGAACCTGAGCCTCAGTCTGCACATAGAATCTCTGTCTGCTCTGGAGAGTAACTCTGATTCTAACCTGCCTCTGTCTTCTCTGCCTCATAGGAAACCTGATCGAAGTCCGGAGCTCTGGAGGAGCTCATGTTTTGAAACCTGCCTGCCTGCTCCGAGAAGCCAAACCTGAAGATCCTCAGTCTGAATCTCCCAGCTAGTTCTCAGGAGAGAACTTGGAGAACAACTCAAGGTCTGAATCTCGCTAGCCTGAAGCTAAGCTCTGCCGCTGCTAAGCTCTCTGCTGAACCCTCAGTCTCTGGACCCAACTGGTTCCCTCTCTCCACCGATCAGTCTGAACCTCATCAGGTAAAACTCAGTATCAAACTCTGTCAAGACATCTTAGCTACCTGGCTAACCAAACAATCCTTCTCTGCAGTGAACTCTGTGAATCCAGTCCCGGACCTGTACCAGAATCAGTGCAAACAATTTACTGCATGTGGGTTTAATCACAGAGACCCATCATGACAATATGGTCCACAAGGTAAGATTGAAGTTGTTGTTTTATGTTGCAGTAAAGTTTCAATTTACCGGTTCAAGGAATCTGGACTAGCTTAGATCGGCTCAGATTAAAATCTAGTGTTTCATTCCAAAGGTCTGAAAAGCGTGGTAAGCATGCAGCAAAGATGGACCAGCTGCAGACCTACTAAAACATGTCTGTCCCCCCAAACCTGACATGATGGGTAAGAGCAAAGCCCAGAGGGGGTTTGAGAAAGTAAAGCCCTGGTTTGACTGACAATTTCCCAGCAGCTTTAAACTCTATTTAAATCTAACAGTACCATTCCCACCGAGGGATGATTCAGGGACAATAAAATAAAAACATACAGAATCTCAAACTTTCAACACCATTGTTTGTTAGAATCCACCATCAGGCTTCATACCTAAAACTCTCCTGTTAAACCAGTTGTATACATACAGTTTCTTGTGTCATTAATGCTGGTTTCCTGTCTGCCAAAGTTATTTATCAGTTTGTTATAAGGTTTGTTTAGTGTTACTTAAAGAGTGAAGAACTGAAACAAGCATGCTTAGTGTGAGGGATTGCTGAAGAGTCAATAAGTCGATGCAATCAGCTGGTTTTCCTTTGAATCAATCTGACTGGATGATCTGGTGAACTGGGAAGTGACCTGATATGATGTGCTGTGAATTGATGCTGAATTGAAATAAACTGAATTGAATTGAATTATGTGATATTAGAAATATATGACACTGTATTCTGCAGACCCTATTTCCAGCATATTTCCTACATATGGTTGGTGTTTGGAATACTTTAACTTAGAATTAAGAAATGGAGACATCTGGTGTTTTCAGAGAGCAGGAGGAGCCCTGCAGCAGAATACTTTGACCTCTTTGTTTACCCTCCTTGGCTCACTCTAAGTGATGCATCGTTGATAGTGCTCTCCATTATCAGCATTTCTCCTATCGTTGCATGATTATCAGTGACAGCTTCATTTACACTTTAATGTTTCTCGCCTCCATGCTTGAAAGAACCAAACTAAACCCGTAAAGACACCATGGTGACTTTCTAAACTGGTCTGATAATCACAGAAAGAATAAGAGGCAGTCTATGGTTTATTTTGTGCCTGGAATGTCCCTGGGCTTTCTATGGGGCGTGCCTGGATTGTTCCTGGGCCGTCTGTGGGGCATGCCTTGATTGTTCCTGGATCCTCCCTGGGCCGTCTCTGGGGCCTGCCTATACCGTCCCTGGGCCGTCTATGGGGCGTGCCTGGATTGTCCCTGGACCGTCCCTGGGCCGTCTATGGGGCGTGCCTGGATTGTCCCTGGATTGTTCCTGGGCCGTCTCCGCAGCCTGCCTAGACTGTCCCTGGACCGTCCCTGGGGCGTGCCTGGATTGTCCCTGGATTGTTCCTGGGCCGTCTCTGGGGCCTGCCTAGACCGTCCCTGGACCGTCTATGGGGCGTGCCTGGATTGTCCCTGGACCGTCCCTGGACCGTCTATGGGGCGTGCCTGGATTGTCCCTGGACCGTCCCTGGGCCGTTTATGGGGCGTGCCTGGTTTGTTCCTGGACCATCCCTGGGCCATCTATGGGGCGTGCCTGGATTGTCCCTGGACCGTCCCTGGGCCGTCTATGGGGCGTGCCTGGATTGTCCCTGGACCGTCTATGGGGCGTGCCTGGATTGTTCCTGGACCGTCCCTGGGCCGTCTATGGGGCGTGCCTGGATTGTTCCTGGACCATCCCTGGGCCGTCTATGGGGCGTGCCTGGTTTGTTCCTGGACCGTCCCTGGGCCGTCTATGGGGCGTGCCTGGATTGTCCCTGGAATGTTCCTGGGCCGTCTCTGGGGCCTGCCTAGACCGTCCCTGGACCGTCTATGGGGCGTGCCTGGATTGTCCCTGGACCGTCCCTGGGCCGTCTATGGGCCGTGCCTGGTTTGTTCCTGGACCATCCCTGGGCCGTCTATGGGGCGTGCCTGGATTGTCCCTGGATTGTTCCTGGACCGTCCCTGGGCCGTCTATGGGGAGTGCCTGGATTGTTCCTGGACCGTCCCTGGGCCATCTCTGGGGCCTGCCTAGACTGTCCGAGGGCCGTCTATGGGGCGTGCCTGGATTGTTCCTGGACCATCCCTGGGCCGTCTATGGGGCGTGCCTGGTTTGTTCCTATACCGTCCCTGGGCTGTCTATGGGGCGTGCCTGGATTGTCCCTGGACCGTCCCTGGGCCGTCTATGGGGCGTGCCTGGATTGTTCCTGGACCGTCCCTGGGCCATCTCTGGGGCCTGCCTAGACCTTCCGAGGGCCGTCTATGGGGCGTGCCTGGATTGTTCCTGGACCATCCCTGGGCCGTCTATGGGGCGTGCCTGGTTTGTTCCTATACCGTCCCTGGGCCGTCTATGGGGCGTGCCTGGATTGTCCCTGGACCGTCCCTGGGCCGTCTATGGGGCATGCCTGGATTGTTCCTGGATTGTCCCTGGACCGTCCCCGGGCCGTCTATGGGGCGTGCTTGGATTGTCCCTGGATTGTTCCTGGGCCGTCTGTGGGGCATGCCTGGATTGTCCCTGGACCGTCCCTGGGCCGTCTATGGGGCGTACTTGTATTGTCCCTGGATTGTTCCTGGGTCGTCTGTGGGGCATGCTTGGATTGTCCCTGGATTGTTCCTGGGCCGTCTATGGGGCGTGCCTAGACTGTCTCTGAATCGTCCCTGGGCCGTCTATGGGGCATGCCTGGATTGTCCCTGGATTGTTCCTGGGCCGTCTCTGGGGCCTGCCTAGACTGTCCCTGAACCGTCTATGGGGCATCCCTGGATTGTCCCTGGATTGTTCCTGGGCCGTCTCTGGGGCCTGCCTAGACTGTCCCTGAACCGTCTATGGGGCGTGCCTGGATTGCACCATTTCTTAGCCCCATCAATCACAATTCGTCAACATTTGATCATAAAAAATAACTGCATAGCTACATTGCTTACTAACGAGTTACTTTTATTGTTCGGTAACTAAGTTACTACAGTAACTCAGTTGCTTTTTAGGAGAAGTAACTACTATTTTTTTAAAGCAACATTTTAAACACTGTAAACTCAAACGATAAAATCTATTGGAGACTGTATGTTTTGTCAAATATTTGGGAGCACAAACAAAACGTTTCTCATCTACTTTTAATAACGGGGGGGAGCAGTCACTCACACTGCAACACACAGCAACAGCGGAACTTTGCCCGCCCAAAACAAACCAGGGGGCGGAGCTTGACCCCTAACTTCACACTATAACAGCTCTGATCTAAACAGCTCTTACATACTCTTTCCTTTTTTTTTTTTTTCTAAAATTACGTTTATTGAGAAGCTCTTCCTGAAGACTCAGAACAGTTTTCCCAACTGCCATCATCATCACTGCAGGTCTTTAAGCTGTGAGACACACAGTTTATCTTTGTCAGTCACAGGGAAGTCATCAGTCACACAGGAAGTGAGACAAGGTGAGAAAATAAAGCATTTATTTGATAGGAAAATATATATAGTAATATATAGTAAAACATATAGTAAAACATTTAAACGTGTTAGTTCTGCTCTCGCTCTGACCCACAGTGTTCCAATTAGAAACCTGCTCTGTCTCATTGCCAGACTCAGGCTTACTATTCAATTCCTGGAGGTTGTACTCACCTAGAGTGTTCACAGTGACGACTTCGCTGAAGGGGCCTGTGCCTAGCTTATTCTGAGCCAGGACACTGAACTGGTAAGTTGTGTCTGGCTCCAAGCCCGACACCACCATCCAGTTCTGGCCTCCAGGTACGGGAATGGAGACCCAGTCATGTGGACCTAAACGCTCCCTCTTCAGCCTGAACAGAAGTCAAGGAGAGATATGAGTGGACAAACAAGAAAGCGGAGATGGACACTAGAACAACACAACTGCCTTGGCTTTTATCTATTTGTTCCTAAACTTTGAAAAAAATACCTTCAGAAACTCCTCAACACTACCTCAATGTTTACATTGAAGCTGTGGCAGAAAACAGTGAAGAAAGTTAAGAAAGGGCTAGAAAAATGTCCTGGGTACGGCCACGCCTATTATGTGGTCAGGTGGAGTGGATCTGGATACACGTCACCCTGCTGGTGCTTTCTACCCCTACAGCTCTGTGATCATTAATCAGAAGATCCTCACACCTGAACGCAGACTCCAATATGGCTGCCATTTGTAGTGTTATTATCATCACAGGAAGAAGCAGATCTATCGTCCAACTTGGAAAAACGTTTTGTCGGGTGTGATTCTAGTTTCTTACTGCAGCATGAGCAGGTTTAAGTTAATTTAATTTAAAAAATAATTAAACAAAAAGCCCCAAAGTCCTTTGGGACGACTACCAATTGTAGCTAATAAAGTCTAGAACAGAAGTCGGCAACCAGCGGCTCCAGACCTGCATGCGACTTCTTAACGCCCCCTTGTAGCTCCCTGGAGCTTTTTAAAAAATGTATGCAAATGAAAAGACATGGATTTTTTTGTCTGTTTTAATATGGTGTGCAGGAGTTCAAATAAACTTTCTTTATGTTTTCCAAAGCTGTATAAATGTGTATAATAAATACATTTAAACAACTTTAAACATTTCATTTAAACAAAGCGGTGGGTGTGTCTCAGGCCATGGATCCCAGAGAGAAAAAAAGGAAGATAGCTGATGAGAACAGATGATTCAAAGAAGAATGGAGCAAATAATTCGCTTTCATTACCATTGAGGAAGGATTGCCTGCATGTTTGCCCTCGCAGTGAGAAGTTGTCAAATAATAAAAAGAGTCATTAGGAAAGGCCTTTCCAGGGAAGGCTAAATATGCAGCCCACCACCAAGCTGGGAGAGAAAAAGTCCGACTTCTGGATAAATTAGAGGAGAGCAAAGATAGATTTAAGAAGTAGATTGCATCTCCAAACTCCACTACTGCTGCTAGTTTGGTTGAAGCATAGAAAACCGTTCATGGACCAAACATGTAGCACTCTGATGCAGGGATGGGAACTTTCTTCCATTTTTTCCCCCAATCCTCAAAATGAAAATAAAAATAAAAAATCTGATTTCCTTATTGTGTTTCTGTCATTTCATCAATGCAAAAAAACATAATACACTAATATTGTAGTGGAATTTAAACTTAAAGTCGTAGGGTAGTGGCTGTTCCCACCGTTGCATTTCTGAATCCTCCCTAGTGGTGCCCGACTTCACATAAGTGAATAAAGTCATGTGATTGGTCGATTATCAAGGGGGCGGGATTGTTGTGACGGAAGGTTCACAAGCTAGTTTGGTTGTGGGTGGTTTGTCTGAAGCATCTTGCTAACCAGTTAGCAACTTAGTGCTAGCAGGTTCCCAATGGGAAATTCCATTGGGACCAAGTAGCACTAAATTGGTGACTTAGAAACGACGCTGTCAAGGAACGCTATGGACAGAGGAAACATGCAAGAGGAGGAGAGTTTAGTGTCGGAGGTCGTGGATGAGTCTCCTCCGTCATCCATTTTTTATTTAGAGGAGGAAAGCGGGGACGAAGATGTTGTGGAAGAGGACGCCAGGGCGGCAGAAGCTTGGTTTGGTGTAGAAGGCTTCCAGCCGTCCATGTTTGAGCCCTTGCCTCGCAACGCTGCCAGTTCTGTTAGCTCTACGCCTGCCAAAGACACAGACGTCCATCCCCGTGAACACTGGGACGGAACGCAATGGGAAAGGAAAGGATTCTGATTTTAACCATTGGGTATATTAGCAGCGACATATGAATCAAGCTGCCATGACCCAAAAAATTTGATTGACAGATGATCGTTGATATATGATTGGCCGAATTTAGGTGTTCAGGCTGACGTAGAACTAACTGGCCGAAGAAAAAACGCAGATTTTAAGACAGAAAATCAAATGAAAATTAAAATATGACTTCCCTATGACCTTAAAGAACCAAATATCATACATCAGAGTCACATGGTGTGACATTTTCTCCAGGATAAACATTTAATCGTGAATGTTTATTACATATTTAAACCCACGTAGTCCATTTTTATAGTGGCCTAATACACTTACAATGTTTCCATATGAGGTTTATAGAAGACTTTTACTTTGTGCAACTCCAGACAGATGTGTTTTTTTTTCTTTTGGTCCAATATGACACTTCAGACAGTTTTGTTTGCCGACCCCTGATCTAGTGATAAGAAGCACAGAGTGGCCGCAGTTTGTCCCAGCAGACTGCGAGGCTCAGCTTTAGCTAACCAATTATGAGATTCTTTGCTTCTGCTACATAACTTATAATCATCAAACAGGTAAAACAGACACACTTTGAAACACGTTTTTCTTGATTGTTCATAACATGGCATTGGAGTCATGCTGCGTTCAGCGCTGCCATTTAGCCATGCCGTACACTTACACTGAATGACCTTCATCGCCCAAATAAAGCAGACCATTCCAAGCATGCAATGACTATTAACGGCACAAACTGAAAACGTTCCTTTATACATTCATCTATAGCTGAAAAATACCAATGTCAGTGTGCTCCTATGACCACAGCTGCTAAGCAAATGCAAACTGTCTTAGTTAAAATGTTATCATTGTGTTACTGAGAGTAATTCAATGTTTGTAGTGTATTTATAACAGTGCAAACCTCTTGACATTTCTAACTTTTTGTAGCATTAAAAATGAAATTTCACAGCATTTCACTGGGATTTTCTGTAAATGGTGAAAAGCAAAGTAGTAGCTCAGTGTGAGGTGGAGGGAAATGACACCTCCCTCAAACGCAGAGGATGTTCAGTCTGAGGACACATTTTTCAAAAAGCCAGCCTGTCCAAAGCCACGTTAGCTAAAGTTAACTTTTCACTAACACACATCTTAATTCATTGGTGCTTTTAGATTGTAACTGTGGATTGAAAAAGTTTCTCATGGCAGGTCAAAGGTTTGCACGGATTTCTGCAAATTTTATGCAAAGTTCATTTTTATCTTCCTGAGTTTTGCATTTAAAATTGCGATGCATATTTTCAGAGGCCAATGGTCTGTCGAAAAAAAAAAAAGGGGGATGTAGTAGATTATTAACTAAATGCTGCTTAGATAAATTAGTCATAAATTCATCTTCAACTCAGGGAGACGCATAGTTGTTAATAGCTGTGAGCATTTTCATATATTTCCATATAATGTGAGGTTTGATGGTCAGAATTTGTTGTTTTTTACGACACTAGTGGTTCATTTATTGGACAGTAGGCTGATAGGAAGGTGGGTATGAGAGAGGGGCAGAGACATGCGGCAAAGAACCACAGGTCGGATTTGAACCCGGTAGGAGAGAAAACATGAACAATGTAAAAAGGTTTATTGGGTATGAATAGTTTCACATGTTACTGTTTATCTTTTGCTCTGCAGCTTTGAAGTCGTACGCAGAAACTAGAGCCTTAAGTTTTAAGGGACTCATAAATGACAGCAGGCCTGCAGAGACACAAGCCTGCTGTCATTATGAATATCTTTAATTAAAGCCACTGCCTGCCTGTTTGCCTATTCCTTCTGCTCCCTGCTTACTTCACTTTATTAATAAAACATGAAAGGTTGCATGGATCAGAATTAAATTAGGATTCAGATGATTTTTACAGTACTGAGTCTGGACTGGATTTATCACTTTAAATACATTTCTTTTGTTACAAATGAAGTAATAATTATGTGTAATTTACCACCACGTCTTATTAACTGATAGTTCTACATACTGTTACAGGATTGGTAGTTAAAGTGCTTAGAGAACAGCAATGAGTCCTCAGTTTTCTACAGCGTAGTTTTGAAGGACATTCAGGTTGATAAAGAGCCTGAAATTCTTATAATTCTATCATAGAAAACATAACCTTGAGCTGTAAGCTGGATTGTCGCGGGATCTGAGTTTTCAGTCTCACAACAAATAACTCTTGAAATACTCCCGCTAATAGGTCCGTCTCGTAACAACCAGCGAGTCGGACCAATGACATTCCAGCAGGGATTTTTGGGGCGGGACATATAGAAATGACGACAGTCAGAGGGGCCCTGCTGGGGCGTCACAAACATGGCTACGCTTGAGGACTCACCTGTCGATTCGCCTATTGACTCGTTTTTAGCTAAAATATTGATAATTTCTGGTTTAATAAAGGAGCAAAGAGAAGCACTTTGTGCATTTATAGATGGGAAAGATATCTTTGATTTCCTTCTGAGATGATTTGGAAAAAGTTTGATTTATCAGCTCACAAAAGGTTATGATTCGCTGCTACGATTGGCTGAAAGAAAAACATTCCTTGAACTAACTGTCAGGACAGGAAGCTTATTACATTTTATCTGAAGCCTGCAGGAATAGCACGTAGCATATATGAGCTGCCGGATTTTATTAGAAGAAGAAGACATATTTTTGTGAGGTGAGCTCATTGAAATCCATCTTTTTCATCTTTAAAGACCAAGAAAACTGTGTTTTATCATAATTTTTCTATTATTTTCCTTAATACTGACTACGGAGTGATATTTATACCTCCATTTTGGGTCCAATTAAGTGCTGTTACATTAACACTGCTGGTACACAACAAAACAAGGGGTTGTGTCTGGAATCAAGAAATAAAAGTAAATCCCAGGGAAAAGCTACTCAAACTAAGCAAAACTCTCTGTCCATGCAGCAAGAACATTTTACTTAACAAATATAACATTTTATATCTTAGGAACCAAATCATTTGCAGTGAAATTAATGTTGATTTTCTACTAATTCATTAATTGAATCTAGGTTGTGAAATGATTTGTCTTCTTCTGTTGTTTATTCTTGTAGTTTTTAATGTGGACAAGCAGAACCGTTATTAAACATATATTTACTTTTCAGTATATTATTGGTTTGATACATTTTATCCAGATACATGTTGGTTTTCTGCTGTTATTTTGATTTGTCTTTGAGAGTTTTTGAGTTAACAGCCGAAACACGGAGACATCTTCACTTTTATGGTTAATGACGGATGATTAGACTCCAAAGTTATTAAAAGGTTATTAATATAGCTTATTAAAACGTACTGGTTAAGATAACTCTGCGTCATGCCCACTTCCCAAGCAATTTTAATAAGTTATTACGTCTTAATTAATAAATTATGATTTAGAATCATCAAAAGCTAATAACTGTTAATTTGAGGCCATTTGACGCATTTTTTTCATTACTATGTTTCTTTGATAAGAATAAAACATTAGCAATATAATTTTCACTTACAATTATTAAGTATATTCATAATCATAAAGGTAAACTTGCACAGAACATCCCGCCCTGCATTTGGACTCTAATGAGTGAGCGAGCCGTTGCCCTGACAACCAAGCATGGTGTTTTGGTCAGTGCCGTCAACTCCTCAGCAAGAACAGAGGCTATTGGCCTAAAAGGCACTAGATGACATCATCGTCTAATTTGCATCCCTCATGTCATCCGGCTGCAGGAGATTCTGAATCCCTGAAATATTTTGTCTGCATTTTTTGGCTGTGCAGCGCAGAGAGATGAGATAGCAGGGAGGAAGAATTGTTTGGATTTGAAGAGTTTTAGAGATTTATTGAGTTTTACAAGGAAATGAAAGAAAAACACCATTTAGTTCCACACTACATAGCAAGTGGTAAAAAACACCATTAGATGTTTGCTAAGCAGCAAATAAAAAAATAAATAAAAACAAAAACCAGGAAGAAGAAAGTAGCATCAGTTCAAAGACACACAGAGAGTGGAGGGGCAGAAGGGGAGAGAACGAGACTGTAGCTTGAAAATGCAGATATTTTATGTGAGACAAATGTGTCACTTAAAATTTATTTTATTTTGGAGTCAGAGTAAAACAATTTAGGAGAAGGCCAGTGGCTGGAAGTAGGAGGGGATTTGGCTGGCTTTTTACTGGGAAAGGCCATTTTTAATGCCTGCTACTGTATGATCATCTCACACAGGACAACAGAGTTCGGTCCTTTTAAGTCGCCAAAGTCTCCATTTACATTGGAAAAACGTTTATAGATTTGGTGCTAGTAATTTCTTTTTTATAAAGGCGCTAGGGGCTCTGAAAAGGCGCCAAATTAAGCGTCAAAAGCGCTAAGTTGGCAGCATTGGTTTTGTTCATAACTAGTTTTGAAACGACCAACAGATGATTCCTTTCACTCAGTGTCACCATCTCTGCTCCGTCTACCAGGAACATGTATTTGCCAAAGGAATGTTGAGGATCCATAATAGGAATAGTTTGGTGGTGTTTTTGTGTCAGTAAGCTGTAAATAAAGGAAGATTCAGGAGAAGCCACTGGCCTACAGTCAGAACCCTTCTCTATTCTCCTTTCCTTGCTAATACTCAGGAAAAGCTCCGTTTGCAGAACCGTTAGATCCCGGATAACCGAGGCCTGTAAACGGTGAAGCAGAACAGCGCAGCGGCAGCAGCAGGACAGAGTCGGGTCATGTTCAGTTAGGTTGCAATGATCTTTTCTTTTTTGGTTTTAAAAACTCACTGAAACTGGATTTCCGTGTACATTCCCATGTCTGCGGTTTACAACTGCTCTGAACGTAACCCTAGAAAAGACATATCCAGCAACAAAATGAAGACTTGATGAAAGAAGAGAAGCAGGAAGCAAAGCATGCTGGGAGGACTCACACATGGCCATACCAGACTGAGAATGTCTGCTGGAAGCCTCCGTCATAGCTCGCCTCCCAGGACACGTTGGCCCAGGTGGAGGAGGCTGCCACTCGGATGCTGGTGGGGGCGTGGGGGCTTGTGCCTGCAGAGACAGGGAGCAGAACTTCAAAGGGCATATTAGTCACCCAGCCCCCCCCCCGCTGCGGTAAAGTTACTCAGTTTATCTGCCAAACTAATTCACCCTGTATAACAGAGAGGTTGAAATCCTGAAAAAGTCAAATAAAATCTGCCTGAAAGTCCATAAACATCAAAGTCAAAGTATGAAAAGTTGGGCAGGTGTGTTTTAACATGATGGAAACGTTTCATCAAGGACCTGAAAGGAGGAACTATTCAACTCAACTCTAACTTTATAAAGCACATTTAAAACAACCGGGGTTGACCAAAGTGCTGTACAGGAATCACAGTTAAGGAACATAAGATAAAAACTGAAGGCTAAAATACATAAACACATAAAAATAGAATAGTGTAAATGTTTCAATTAAAATACATTTTAGAATAAAATAACATTTTAAATAAAATAAAATTTTGCCAAATGTCTACTTAGACATGATTAAATGCCAGGGAGAAGAAATGTGATTTTAAAGAGGATTTAGGCCCCGTCCACACGAAGCCGAACCCTGGCCTAAACGCACAAATTTTTCACCAAACCAGCCTCTCATCCACACGAAGCCGGCGTTTCGGGGGTCTGTAAACGATCTTTTTTTTATTCAGCCTTCAGAGTGGGAAGATTTCGAAACGCCGTTTTCGTGTTTCCATCTTTACGCTCTAACCGCATTTTTTTTTTTACACGCATGCTTCATAGCGTCGCCTCTAAACACGCATGCGCGACACAGTATCACAACAACAATGGCGCCGTTGCTGCTAATGCTACTCACCCTGCTGTCGGGCTTACAACAGAATCTTCTTCTTCTGGAATATCTCCAGGAAGAACAGAGCAATATCGACCACATAGTTCAGCACCTGAATTTGACTTAACCACGAAAATGGACCCGCAGGGCAACCATGTATAAATGTTAGTGCGCATGCCCAACATTTCGTCGCTTATTTTTGCTTTGGTACCACAGCGCCACTTACAGGCCTGGCATACATTTTGCAGCGTTTTCATGCGTTCGTGTGGACGCTCACATTTATTTTACGTCTCCGTCTTTACGGCAAACGTTTTGGAAAATATCAGCGTTTCGTGTTCGTTTTGACTTCGTGTGGACGGGGCCTTAAAAACCTCAAAGGAGCCTGCTGATCTAATATGCCAAGGCAAGATATTCCAGAGCCTTGGTGCCATAAAGGAACGATCACCTTTAGTTTTAAGTCTGGTTTTAGGCATCGTCAGTAGCAGCTGATTAGAGGATCTCAGTGTTCTGGCCGGGGCATGAATTTGGAGAGGCTCAGTCAAATACTGGGGGGCTAGACCATTAAGAGCTTTAAAAACAAATTTTAAAAACTATCCTAAACAACCTGGAGCCAGTGCAATGAGGCTAGAACAGGTGATATGTGGTCACGTTTACGTGTGCCAGTAAGGAGACAGGCAGCTGCATTTTGTACCAACTGCAGACGGTGTAAAATTGAGCGGTCCAAGCCAGCATATAAAGAGTTGCAGTATCCAATCTTGTATTAATAAAAGCATGGATTACAGTCTCCAGATCTTTTTGTGGCGGGTACCCTTTCACTTTTGATAAAATTCTTAACTGGTAAAAGCAATTTTTTACGACCGAGTTAACCTGGTGATCAAATTTCAACCTGTCATCAAATATTACACCAAGATTTTTTACTGATGATCGAATGTTAGGTGTAAGAGGGCCCAAGAAGCCAGGGGGAAAAACTGCTGGACTAAAACCAAACATTATAATTTCTGTCTTACTTTCATTCAGATTCAGAAGGTTTGAGGCCATCCATGATTTGACATCCTTCAAGCAGTTAGAAAATGACTGTTGCTGCCATTGATTTGGAAACAATTATCAGGTCAGTGTTTTACTCCATTATTCTAACGGGACAAAACGAAAGCAATACGCTAATCTTCTCAGAAGAACAAGACGCCCCTCTGCACTCTGAGGAGCGTCTTGTTCTTCTGAGCTCAAGCTCAGATTATACAGCTTTAAGGGGAGGGTGTTTTTTTTTTTTTTTTGAAAGGCTTTGAAGACATCAAACTATTTCCAACTGCAAAGAGCCAAGTGAGAGGAAAAGCAAACAGCTCATAAAGCACGGTGGTGGAGGGTTGATGATTTGTTATTTTTTACAGCTAACACATCTGACCACCTCACAGCAACCCAGTCAACCATGAGTTCATCTCTACACTAAAACAGTGGATCCACAAGGACTACATGAAAATATTTTATTTCTTAGGTAGTAAAAAAAAAATTGAGCTGGGATCTGTTTTGCTTTCTGAGGATCCAACAGAAAAAATAAATAAGCTTTTATTAACCAAAACGTTTTTTTTTATCTTATATGTCTGAGTTCATTTTTAGCTGTGACAAACATGCAAACCAAGCAGAGGAACCGACTGGATTAGAGAACAGCCTGGGATCAGCTGGTTTTCACACTAAGCTATCAGAGCTCATCAAAGCAGCTCAGGTTTCTTTATACAAACAAAATAAAACTAATTAAGTAAGCCTGATTATAAATGTTGTTCTGCATTTTGTTTCCTATTCAAGTTCAAATGTGATTATAAGGGAGTGGAGCTCCAGTTTTATAAATGCAGGTTGATAATAGGATATTACTACCTTCCAGGCAACATATTCATGTTTTCTTTTATTTGAGATGGAAAGAATAAAATGCCTAAGAACTAAATGCTCAAATAAAAGAATAAGTAATATAGTTTTTATTTTATAATCAGTTATTGTACATTCCAGCTTTGGATAATCATCAATACGTCTGACTGCGGGGGTAAGAATAAATGGCCAAAGGGGTTAACATGTCAACAGGTTGGGAACAACTAAATAAAGCTCTGTGGGTCCTGAGTGAAGCCCCCCGACTGGCAACTTAATGTTGGCAGAAAGTTGTTAGAGGAAGATCAAGAGGAAGATCATCCCAAACTCTACAGGAAAACCACAGCAGGTTGGCTGAAAAACGTGATTCTACCGCCCAGAACAAGTACAGAAGTGGCCATTCAAAAGTGGCTGGTTCTTTCCTGGCCCTTGGCTGCTTCTTTCCTGGCCCTTGGATGCTTCTTTCCTGTACCTTGGCTGGTCCTTTCCTGGCCCTTGGCTGGTTGTTTCCTGGCCCTTGGATGCTTCTTTCCTGTACCTTGGCTGGTCCTTTCCTGGCCCTTGGCTGCTTCTTTCCTGGCCCTTGGATGCTTCTTTCCTGTACCTTGGCTGGTTCTTTCCTGGCCCTTGGCTGGTTGTTTCCTGGCCCTTGGATGCTTCTTTCCTGTACCTTGGCTGGTCCTTTCCTGGCCCTTGGCTGGTTGTTTCCTGGCCCTTGGTCGGTTCTTTCCTGGCCCTTGGCTGGTCCTTTCCTGGCCCTTGGCTGGTTGTTTCCTGGCCCTTGGATGGTTCTTTATTGGCCCTTGGCTGCTTCTTTCCTGGCCCTTGGCTGCTTCTTTCCTGGCCCTTGGCTGCTTCTTTCCTGGCCCTTGGATGGTTCTTTCCTGGCCCTTGGATAGTTCTTTCCTGGCCCTTGGCTGCTTCTTTCCTGGCCCTTGGCTGGTCCTTTCCTGGCCCTTGGATGGTTCTTTCATGGCCCTTGGCTGCATCTTTCCTGGTCCTTGGCTTTTTCTTTCCTGGCCCTTGGCTGGTTCTTTATTGGCCCTTGGCTGGTTCTTTCCTGGCCCTTGGCTGGTTTTTATTGGCCCTTGGCTAGTCCTGGACTTCTCATTGGCTGGTCCTTGGTTAGTCCCCATCAATTGCTTTTTCCACATCAATCTTTGTATTAAAATATTCTTTCTGTCAAAGGTGGTGGACATTAGGATCTAAAGACAAGTGCCATCTCTTGGTCAGACCCTGGAATTCATTGAAAGGGTGGAGTCAGAGTAAAAAAAATGGAAGAGGGGGTCACTCCAGTGGCTGGGAGTTGGAGGGAAGTGGGCTGCCATTCTGATGGCTTCTGACTGGGAAGGTCCATTTTGAATGGCCGCTACTGTACAGAGGGCTGAGCATTACCGAGCAACAGACAGAAACAAATCCCCCCAAAAACAATCAGAAAACAGCTGCTGATTCCTCTGTTATTTATGAGTGTAATGTGTGAAGGTACCTATGACTTGGACATGCGTGCTGGCAGTGATGCTTGTGGCAACGTTGGTGGCGACACACTCCCACTCCCCATGGTCATCCTTTGTGAGCGACTTCAGCTGTAAGTTGCCCCGAGGCAGAACATTGTGCTTGCTTTTACTGGGCTTCCCTACCTGTGGTTGGCCCCGCCCCCGAGGAGAGAAGGAGACCGAATGAACAATTGGCACAAGCAACAAGAGAGTGTCATCCAAAGGCTTTTACAGTGCTACAACCAACAAGGCTGAAATTAATGAAATGGTGTAAAAATTATTAATATGAAGTGATGAGAGGGCGTTGTAAGATGCGAGTCGGTACCTTCCTCCATGTGATATTTGGAAAGGGGTCTCCCTCTGCCTCACAGGGGATGACCAGTTCCCGACCAGCCTCCTGCCTGTACTCCCCTCCAGGAACCACAGAGAATTTTGGAGGGTCCTGGCCATGGTCAAACAGCCAAAACGAGTCAGTACCAGCCTGGGCGTCCGGGGAGGATGGCATTTAAACGTAGTTACCTTTAGCACCAGGGGAGCAGGAGGAGACCATCCCATGGAACCCAGGTCATTGTAAGGCATGCAGGTATAGGTGCCAAGAGAGTCCTCTGTCACCTCTGCAATACGGATGCTCCCATCATCCATCTGGCTCCAACCGGGATACTGAGAGAAAGGAGAACTCAGCAGGTGGATGCCTAACGCTTCACTGCACAAATACTAAGATAACTAAGAACTATTTTTCTGGAAGCAAGTGTTGTTTCCCACGATTTCAGCAGGTTTAAGACAATTTACCAATAGAAAATGGTTCACATTTAAAACAAACACTAAAGGCAAACACTAGGCTCTTGGTTTAGTCCAGAAATAGTTGTTGAAAATTGGGCTGTTTGTTCAGTCTGATTTTTTCCCCGCTTTTGTCCAATAATAGCTAAGATGTTGCAAATCCATTTTTCAATGTCTTTTCAACAATCCGAAAATTACCTTTCCATCAAATGTCAATCAATCATGACTTTTTGACCAATTTTCACATGGTGGGTAAAAAAAACCTCACCATTGTCAGATTGTCTCATTGATCTGCTTCAATTAAGGGGAAATAAACTTATTTTTTTTTAATTGTAGATCAATTTCTGCAGTTCAGACTGTGCAAAGGATTAAAATAAAAACCATGAAATGTTAATTTATGCAAAACATGCTATGCTGCAGAAAAATGTCCAATCTATTCGATTCCTACGATCTTACATTTAACGAAAAAATCTGTTTGTCCTTGGTTTGGGATTGATATTGTTTGATCTTTTATTTTCTTTTGAGAAAATCCAACCAATTACAGTAGTAGACATTCAAAATGTCCCTACTTTCCTTTATGGGCCCTTTTCTGGTCCCTTACAATTCCTTTTTAAACATCAATCTTTGCACCAAAATACTCTTTCTGTCATGATTTGTGGACATGAAAGGGGAACACCGTTTTTTTTTTTTTTTTACATTGGGCCCTTGATTTTACATTATTTCATCATGTTCTACTCACCCATATTAGTTTTGTGTCATTTGGAGCCGTTCCGAAGTTATTCCGTTAGGTTATATCCAAGTAACGTCTTCCGATGGGCAACGAGTTGAAGGCACAAACTAAACTGTTCATCATTTAGTCTTTATGGTACGCCAGCATTCATAACATGTAGGTTAATCACTGTCCAAACAAAGCAGCGTGTGTATGACGTTATCAGCGCGCCGGACTGGAGTTGTGTCGCCCGCTAAAATGCTCTTTTGCGGGTGAAAAATACATAAATAAAAATAAACGGGTCTGGCGGATATTTTTTTAGTGTGGGCAGGTAGTTGGTGATTTTGTTTTTATGCGTGTGTGTTGTTATGGACATCAGAAATGTTCTATTAATCAGGCACTGGGGTCACCCTTGTTGTAGCTAAAAGCCCTGCTGGCAGTGTGGGCTTCCCTCCAAAAAGGCCACAGTCAGTGCATACACGTCTGCTGCAGTGTTAATGGCGCTGTTCTGCAGCGCAGCGTACTATAGCCTATTACTTTATGTGTTAACGGGTCGGGTTGCGGGTTAAATATCAACGGGTCGGGTCGGGTCGGGTCGGGTTCGGATTTGAATTGAAGATATCCGCGGGTGACGGGTCGGGTTCGGTAGTTATCCTAACGGATTCGGGCGGGTGCGGGTTGGTAAAACTCGACCCGTGCAGGACTCTAGGCTACACTCTATATCTTATATATTCGGCTAGCTAATCTGAATCGTTCAATTCCATTTGGAGAGCGAGATCATCTGAGGTAGCAGCACTAGACATCTTCCAGGCATGTGAGGAAAACTAGCAGCAGTTCAGCGGACAGGATGAATGAACGGTAGCCGGTGCGCGGATGACATCATACACGCGCCGCTTTGTTTAAAAAAATGTATAAATATTAAAAATATAACCGCGGATGTCTGGGGGACAGTGATTGGCCTCCATGTTCTGAATGCTGGCGTACCATAAAGAATAAATGATGAACAGTTTAGTTTGTGCCTTCAACTCGTTGCCCATAGGAAGACGTTACTTGGATATAACCTAACGGAATATCTTCAGAACGGCTCCAAATGACACAAAACTAATACGGGTGAGTAGAACATGATGGAATCAAGGGGCCAATGTAGAAAAAAAAAATGCGTTCCCCTTTAAGGTCTAAAGAGAAACGCCATCTCCTGGTTAGACCCTGAACTTCAGTGAAAGGGAGGAGTCAGAGTAAAAAAAAAGGCCAGTGGCTGGAAGTTGGAGGGGAGAAGGCTGCCATTCAGCTGGCATTTGACTGGTAAGGGCCATTTTGAATGGCTGCTACTGTAAGTAAAACTAAGACAATCACACTTTAATAAGACCTTTTTTTTTTGAGAATGTTTATCACAATCTTAAGTGCAAATGTTTCATATATATATATGACTCCAGAATTGGTAAGATGGAGATTCTGTGCAGTGTAAAAAACAGAATTCCCTAAAAGGAGGAGGAGAACAGTGATGGGTTTGAATGAATGAGCTCAAACGTGTCTCACCTTGTCTATCCGTAGAGGGAGGCCGTCTTTTTTCCACTTCACCAGCGTTACAGGGGGGTTGGCATCTACTGGGCAGCGGATGAAGCCTGGGAGGCCAATGGCGGCGTAAATGACGGATGGCATGTCTACCACACGGGCAGGATCTTGGGATTAAAGAAAGGGAAAAGGCAGCTGGTAAAAGTGTGGGGAACCCAGTGTCTGATTAAAGGATCGGATATAAACTAAGGCTTCTCATCCTTGGCTCAGCCTACAAGGACTGATTTATTTACCTTTAGTCCATTTGGTCTCTAAACAGCTTCCCTGTTTACCTCTAAGGTGATTTTACTCACCTTAGAGGTGATTTAAACTCCCATCTCATGTGAAACACCAAACGCAAAGCAGAATATCTTAAAGTATGACACATCCTATGTAAAACACATGAGGAAAAAAAACTTTGCTGTTTCTTTTCAATTTTTTTGTAAATATTTTCTTTTTTTATTTCTCTTCACTCCACGCTGAATCCAAATGTTCTTGCTCTTGACCAATGAAAAATGTTGTTACTAACGTTCAGCAGAGCAATAAAAATCTTCACTCCACACTGCAGAGGAAAGCCAACGCTATATGAACGCTCAAACTCTATCTGAAATCGGAGAAATTATAACATCTGAAACTTGAAAAAAGTTAGAAAACATCAAAATTACCATAAAAACAATTTTAAATTGATTTATTTCTGCTGGGAACTGGATTGGTTTTTCCTTGTTGGTTTTTTCTCATTTGCCTGCTGCTTTCACCTTCATCCAGTAGATGGCGACTAGAGGCCGAACTTGGAGGGGTGCGCCCGTGGGTTCTGTCTGCGCACCTGTTACTCATCACCTAATCATCCTGGAGCTTAAAAGGAAGCAGGCTGCCAGCTCCTCGTTGCCTGAGTGTTTTGCCTGGTATGGTACTCTGAGCCCCCATAGTGATACTCTCTGTGTTCTTTTGCTGTAATTGACTCTGGTTGTCTTCCTTCTCTCATGTGTAGTGATGGGTTAATGAGGCATCTTGAAGCGTTTCGACACATTGCCAAACTTTATTGATCCTGCGTTGATACTGTCTCATAGAATAGCAACACCTGCTGGACATTTAAAGACACTGCAGGCAGCTGATTGGACAGAAAGAAACTGAATCTGATGACCTAGAACAATAACATCATTGAAGTTATTGTAGGTTATATTGTATTATTTCATATCTATGTTTAAACTGAAAATATCTTTTATATTTTTAGGTGCTGCCAATAAATAATGTAAACTTTTTTCATAATGTGAAAATTTAGGGGAACGTGAATGAGAATGCTTGTGGACTTAAATCATCATTCTAAAACAATAAGTTCAGTAAAAACTTTAAATAAACTCAACTTCAAAACAGGAAGTCAATTTGAAATGAACTTTAACTCCGATAAGTTGAGTGATAACTGAGAGGAAAAGGATTAGACAACGCTAAAATTAAAATAAAAACACAACGGCTGAAACATTTCTATTCCTTTTAGGCTCAAAAAGTCTGAATTATTTGATGACAAACTGCAAAAGATGAGACATTTTTTCAGCAGATGCATCATGTTGACCGAGTTGTTTTCAAACATATTTTAGTGAGTCAGTTAGAAACAACTCCAGGATCGGTCACATGACTTTCTAGAAACGACACGTGTTTGGCTCTATGGGCTCCAAGCATACACAGATGCGTCGGTGCATGTTTTTTTTGAAAATTATTTGAAAATAGCAGCAACATCAGAGATGTGCTTAATTACAGCAGCAGGTTATTTAAAAACTAAGGTAGAAACTGAGCAAACTCCGCATTAATGGAAGAACTGATTGAGGTTGTTGGGAACAGTGGTGGTTCTAGAGTCTTCCAGCTGCTGGGAGGAAGGATCTGTGATAAGGCTCCCTGGTGCATTTAAGGTGCAGCTGTCTGTCACTGAAGGAACTGTCCAGTTCAGCACCAGCTTCATGCACGGGATGGGATTTGCACATATTCAAGCAGATATTCACCCAGGTCGCCATAAATAATGTAGTTATTATTTCTATCCTTAAACCTTTTGAAAAATTATGAATTTTCGGAGACAATTTTGATGCTTTTTACATTTTCCCCATCAAACTGATTCTCTGACATCATCAGGCAAAATGGGATTAAACCATGTTTATCTGCATTACAGTTTGTTCTTTATTTAGGTTAAACACTATGCACCATAATGTGAACATGAAAGGAACAAATAAAACTCAAAAAGCCTAGATTTATGTTTAAATCCCAAGCAAAAAAAGTTAGCTCATGGAAGTAGCGTAGGATCCCATTTCAGGCACAGATCAGGCATTTACTTTCTCAGGAAATACATTATTAACCTTTAACATGTTAGAGTTTAGTACGCTATCTGATTTTAAGGAATGAAAAACATAATTTAGGTCTTTTTTAAAAAGTTAAATGGAGGGCAACCTGGATGTATATCTGGTTGCGCAGATGAGCTGATGGTACGGATCGTGCTTCTGGGACGGATCGGGTAGTGACAGGGCTTAATATGGGGATGAGCTGTTGGGTGCGGTTTAGTTCAGCCTTACTAGAAGTGAGCAGAGGGAGGATGGTTGTTACGTAACAGATCTCTAGAGGAGGAATTTTCACTTTCCTCATCACTAGAGCCGGAGGGACGTTTTGTGGAGCCCAGTGGGCCGTAGCGTTCTCACTTTAATTTGCTAGCTTCAAGTTCAGACTTAGAGGTGCCAGAAGCCAGTGTAGGTGTTGCTCTGTGGCTAGCTGTGCTCAGTAGCTAACAGGTTAGCCTCTTTTTGCCCAGTCAGTTAGCAATATTAAGCTACACTACTTTTGATTTTATGGTAACAACCGTTCGTTTTCCTTTCCTTTCCCATTGAGTCTGTGTCTTCGGCAGGCGTAGAGCTAACAGAACTGGCAGCGTTGCGAGGCAAGGGCTCAAACATGTACGGCTGGAAGCCTTCTACACCAAACCAAGCTTCTGCCGCCCTGGCGTCCTCTTCCACAACATCTTCGTCCCCGCTTTCCTCCTCTAAATAAAAAATGGACAATATTTCATGACGATCTCCGACAATAAACTCTCCTCCTCTTGCCTGTTTCCGCTGTCCATAGCGTTCCTTGAGATTCAGTGTGGTTTATTGCTGCATTGCTAACAAGAGTTTTTTTGGTTTGCTAGATCAGAGGCAACTTCCAAGTTGTTTGACCTGGATAAGTGTACTATATGCGCGGTAGAGGACGCAATGACATCACAAGTGAGCGTGCTCTGTATTTAGGGAAGTAAACGTGGAGTGCATCTTGCAATCTTTCATTTCTTTCCCAACCTCAGCCAATGCAATAACAACACAATCTTTTCAAGATGGTTGAAAATAAAGACTGTTCATCCAACATGGTTGTTGTTTTTCTTGCTGCTTTAGTGTAGCTAGACTCGGAATAGGGACCTTTGCTGAATATTAATGATGTTCAGGTCAAATGAATGCGACCTGGGCGTTCAGACACAGGTCGCATTTGAAAACATCAGATTGGTATCGAATTCAGGACCACTGAGCCAAGTGGCCTGGGTCAAAATGGAACAAATAAGATCTGTGTTGTTCAGACTGTCATTAAAAGATTGAGGTCGATTATTGGAAAAAAAAATTGGATTTGGGTCACTTCAGGCTGCAGCATGGACGTAGCCTAATTGTTGGCTTAAAACATCTGTTATCAGAGAGTTATGAGTCAAATCTGGTATTTCAGAGTATAAGATGAAACAAAGTAATGGAAATAAATAAAACTATTAAACAATAACACATTCAATATTTCTTTCCAATAGTTATAGCAGGTAATGCAAATGTTAGGAAAGGACTTTTAGCAGCAATATTTACTGTTCAACTTATTTTCACCTGATCGTTTAAAAGCTAAAGTTACTCATTGAAGAGGCTGATGCTTCACAGCTTAAACCGGGTCTAAACTAATCAAACCCAGAGCTCCACTTAAAGTCTCTGCATACGTTTGGACAAAGCTGAGTGTTTATGTTTGCTTGCAAAACATAAAAAGCTTATTTTCTAATTTCACTCATTAAGGGTTGAAAGTAATGAGAGTAACCCTTACAGAGTTTTCTCTCTACATCATTAAATCGTTTTCAGCTGGTATTCAGTCATTGGATCACCGGGAAAGAAATGGATCAACTCAGTGTTAATGAAAGGGGACAAAAAAGGAGCTAAAAGTTTCAGTTAATCCAGAAACTGGGGGACAGCCAGAGGAGAACGGTGCCTCAGTAGGGTCAGGGAGGGGAGCTTTCCATTATGGACGGGTGGAGGAAGGGACTGCTGTCACCGGAGCAATAGGGGGAAAATAAGTGAGGCTGAACGTAGGAAACAGGACAGGTGAGACAGAAAAGACTGGATGACGTAAGGCAGAGTGGAGCCAAGGATGGGATGGTGTCACCGGCTGTGAGGCAGGGTGCAGACCAGTGAATGCCGACCCACAGCTTGTCTGTCCCAAAACCCAGACTGCTCTGATGAGCGGCACGACTGACAAGAACAGCAGTCAGGTTTCTAAATATAGCCCTCAGATAGTCCTGTCGCTAAGAACGCTTAGCGCGCCCAGATGCTGGGGAACATGTTAACAGCCACTCAAGAAATAAAAAAAAAAAACGCATGCAGACGAGAGAATATTGATGCTGAGAGAACAGAGACAGAAGAACATCAGAGGAAGGAGTCAGAGAGCCCCCTGCAGGCTGATAAGAAAAGTTTCCAGTTTTACAGCAGTGATGTAATCCCCCTCCTCACCCTCCCTCCTTCTTCCCCTGACTGCTGTTGCCTACCTTTGTTCACACACAGACACACAGCCATGCAGGAGGAACGATGCTGCTTTAACCGGCGCCAGCAGTCACACTTCTCTGCTCCCATACCCGATAGGAACAAGCTCACACAGGAGCAGGACCGGTGGAGAGGAACAGCTGAGAAACCAGGGGGCGACAACCCGTGATGACACGGGGGGGTCCACAATATTATATATTAATAGACACACAGGTATTCTAATGAGAGACTTAGGAAGGTTGTCTGGATATGAGAATAATTTGGCAAAAACTTTAAAGTGAGCTTGAAGCTAAAGAGTGCAGGTCCTCTTTCAGCTCATCAGATTAAGATAAACATCTAAAAACACAGAA